AAGGAAAAAAAAATCATACTTGCGCTATAAAATGAGTTACTGCGGCACTGTTGGGCTGTAAGGAAATGTTACCATCAACAAAGATACAAAAGTGGGCGGTAGGTATTAAAAGGTTGACTACCCCTGCACTAGAGATTGGACTAACCCTGCAATGTAAACATAGAAGTTTCTCTGAAGGGTTAAAACCTGGGAGACCTGTCACCCAGACCACTTCATTGAGCTGAAGTGGTCTGGGTGACTATAGAGTCCCTTCAAGTATTTTTTTTACTAGGTTGTGTGTTGAACTACTAAAAATTCTGAATAGTCAAACTATTGGGAACTTGACATTCTCTACCTCATATTTAAAGTACAAAAAAATACACACAGCCTTCTCCTTAGAAAAAAAACATACTACTGGGGGGGCCTGGCTGCCATGCTCAGCAGACACCTTACTTTGGAGCACCATCATACTCAAGACACTACAGACATCAAAACAACTTTAGCTTAATGAAGCAGTTTTTGTGTATAGATGATGCCCCTAGGGTCTCACTGCACAATGCTCAAGACTCAATAATGCCATTTAGGAGTTAAATCACTTTTGTTTCTGGTTATGCAGCGCAAACCTCACCTCCCTTGGCTGGGACTCACACAGCCTGCATGAGAAAAAAAGTTTAATTTTTAATCAGATGGTAACTTGCTTTAGATGTTTTTATCTCCTGCTCTATAAATTGAACTTTAAAGGGACACTCCAGACAGCCCTTTTTACTCACCTCATTCCAGCGCCGGGAGCCTCGTGAAGCCGCGCCCCCTATTTCGTCAAAATGACAAAATAGGTGGGCGCGAGCAGGGAACAATCGGACGCTTCCATTCTGCCGCACATGCTCACATACTTGATAGGGCGGCATTCATGCCGCCCTATGAAGTCCTGAGTGCAATACCGCGAGCTGAGCTGACTCACAGGCCTTCTCTCTCCTGCACACGTTTAATACGTCTGACATGTACATGGCCTTTTTAGGGCCATACATGATAGGAAGTCCCTCTGGTGGCCATCTGAGTGACGGCCACTGGAGGTATTCCTATCAATCAATGTAAACACTACATTGATTTACATTAAATTGCCTGCAGGGAGCTATAGATCTCACCTGAACAACTACATTAAGCTGTAGTTGTTCAGGTGACTATAGTGTCCCTTTCATCACACACAGGAGGCTCATGCAATGGATTGGAGGCTATTAACAAAGCAGGAGATAAATAAATTCAAAACTGCGATGGGGCCTGAGTGTCATGGTGGAGAGATGTACTTTGCATGAGCTAACCCTATGACACTGAAGCCACAAAGGCAGTCAGCAAATCTAGTGACACACCCAACATGGCAGATGCTGTATGGCTCCCTGGTGGAGCAGAAAAAACGCATAACACTTTGTCCAAACTTGACAACATTTTCAAAAACTTCTGGCAGAAGCTGGAGAGCAGGATGAGTTGGTCTATTTTACAGCAGTTGAGTAGCCACTTACCTCACAAGGTGGAACATGGCAGACACCCACTGTCTCTGCAGTAAAGCAGGCCTCAAAATGACGCAGAAATGGGAAGCACCGATCACTCCAACAAAAGGCAGCAGGACAGCAACAATGGATGCGATCTAGCGCTGAGTCTCTTACCTTCTCCGAGGTGCTAGGGAGAACTCACATTGTGACATGATAAATATGTAATGTTGTTGATACAACAATTTGCACCATGGCTGATGTTTCAGGAGGTATAAGCCAAACGGCAAATGATTTAGGTAAACTAGAAAAATGGTCAGAGCTGTGGCAAAGGATATGTGCAAGATAATGCATCTTGGGCAGAGTATAGAAAATATTTGAAATAGTCCTAACCTCAACATCTGAGGAAAGGGATATAGGGGTAATTATTTCAGATGACTTAAAGGTAGGCTTACAATGTAAAAGAGCAGCAGGAAATAGAATGCTTGGTTGCATAAAGAGAGTATGAGCAATAGAAAGAGGGAAGTGATCATGCCAGTGTACAGAACACTGGTGAGACCTCACTTGAGTATTGTACCCAGTACTGGAGACGGTATGTCCAGAAGGATATTGATACTTTGGAGATAATCCAGAGAAGGGCTACTAAACTAGTTTATGGATTTCAGGATAAAACTTACAAGGAAAAGTTAAAGGAACTTAACATATATGGCTTGGAGGAAAGACAAGACAGGGGGGATACGATAGAAACATTTAAATACATAAAAAGAAAATCCACACCGTAATGGAGGAGAGTATATTTAAAAGAAGAAACTACCACTTAAATTAGAGGGGCAAAGGTTTAAAAATAATATCAGGAAGTATTAATTTACTGAGAGGGTAGTGGATGCATGGAATCGCCTTCCAGCTGAAGTGGTAGAGATTAACACGGTGAGGGAGTTTATTGGATAGGCATAAGGCTATCGTACATATATGATAAGACCAGGGACAAATGTCAGTAATTAGAAAATTGGGCAGACTAGATGGGCCAAATGGATATCTGCAGTCACAGCCTATGTTTCTAAGTGACATGTGGCTTGATCTGCCGGTCTGCTTTAAGACACAAAAGCCTGCAGTATTCACCCTGTTTGCAGGACTATATAATACTTTAGGTAGGCATAGGCTGACTGTAGGGATTGTAGCCACCAGGGCCTCCATCAGAGTGTGACAACCATGAAGGTTGTCATGGGCCGGGTGGCTCTGGAGGGTCTGGCCGTCTGGGCCCCATGTGTAGCGGTGGAACTGCTGCAGGTGCAGCTGCACACTGATAGGTTGAAGAGGACCCTGCTCAAACGAGCTTACAGATTATAGGAGGTGGGGTGTAAAACACATTAGGACAGGAAACAGCAATCAAATAAGGTGGGAGTGAAGCAGAGCTGAAGGAGTGAGTAGAGTGCTGCCCTTTATGAGAGATCAAGGTATGTAAGGTAAAGGTTACTCTGAGAGGCCATAAGTTTTCCTAAAGAGATGGGTTTTAAGGTACTTCTAAAAGGACTGAAGACTAGGGGATAGTCTGATGGCAGTAGGCAGGCTATTCCATAGAAAAGGAGCCGTCCGTGAGAAGTCCTGCAAGTGTGAGTTGGCCGTACGGGTGCAAGCAGCAGACAGGAGAAGGTCACAGGCAGAACGGAGAGACCGAGAAAGAACATACCTATGGATCTGTGAGGAGATATAAGAGGGGCTTGAATTGTTCAATGCTTTATACGTATGGGTTAGTACTTTGAATTGACTCCTGTAGGAGGTATGAGAGGACCGACTAGAGAGGAAAATCAGTCTGGTGGCAGCATTCATTACAGACTGTAGCGGGGCAATACGGCTTTTGGGAAGACCAATTAGGAGAGGGTTACAATAATCCATATGGGAAATTACTAGAGCATGGATAAGCTCCTTGGTAGCATCTTTTGTAAGAAAGGGGTGGATGCGGGCTATGTTTTTAAGATGGAATGTGGGGATCAAAGGTGAGGCCAGAATCAAGTATGACACCAAGACAGCTCACTTGCAAGGATGGACTGATGTGGATACCACTCACTTGAAGGGACAGCAAAAGAGGAGGATCAGTATTAGGAGGAGGAAAGACAAGGAGCTCATTTTTAGAGAGATTGAGTTTCAGAAAGCGGGAGGACATCCAGTCAGAGATAGAAGAAAGGCAAGCAGTGACACATTGCAGGACGGCAAGGGAGAGGACCAGGGAGGAGAGATATATCTGGGTGATATCAGGTGGAATCCAAATGAGGCAATACATTTGCCAAGAGAGCAGTATAAAGAGAAAATAGAAGGGGACCAAGGACAGAGCCGACTGCAACCGAGACAGGACGAGGGAAGGAGGTATCACTAGAAAAGGAGACACTAAATGAGCATTGTGAGAGATAAAAGGAAAACCACAAGAGGAGAGAGTCACAAAGACTGAGTGATTAAGGAGTTTGAAGAAGGAGAGCATGATCAACGGTGTCAAAGGCAGCAGAGAGGTCAAGAAGAATTAGTATGGAGTAGTGGCCTTTGGATTTAGCTGTGATTAGGTTGTTAGTAACTTTGATAAGAGCAGTCTCAGTAGAGCGGAGAGGGTGGAAGCCAGATTGAAGAGGGTCAAGGAGAGAGTTGGAATTGAGGAAGTGAGACATATGGGTAAAGACGAGTCTTTCCAGAAGCTTTGAGGAAAAAGGGAGCAGGGATATGGGATCAGGGGCGGACTGAGAGCCTTTGGGGCCCCTGGGCAAAATTAGATCCCAGGCCCTTTGAAGGCCAAATATATGTGCATTAAATAAATGTTAAATATAACTCATAATACAGCATTCCTTTGGATGTGTATATTGTGAAGACCTGTGTATCAATGCATGTTTGTATTTGAGTCTGTGTGAATGCACTTGTGCATGTCGGGATGACTACATGTGCTTTTTTTGTATATAGTGTCTGTGTGAATGCATATGTGACAGTGTGTGAGGGAGAAGGTGACAGGTGGAAGAGTGTGGGAGGTTGTGACAGGTGGCAGAGTGAGGGGGTACCTGGTGGCAGAGTGAGGGAGGGAGGGGGTGAGTGGTGGCAGAGTGAGGGGGAGACACAGTGAGTGGGGGTGACTAGTGACATAGGGAGGGAGAGGGGGTGACTAGTGACAGAGTTAGGGAATGGGTGACTAGTGGCAGAGTGAGGGAGGGAAAAGATGACTAGTGGCAGAGTGAGGGAGGGAAAAGATGACTAGTGGCAGAGTGAGGGAGGGAAGGGGTGACTGGTGACAGAGTGAGGGGATGACTGGTGACAGAGTGAGGGAGTGACTAGTAACAGAGGGAGGGAGTGACTAGTGACAGAGGGAGGGAGGGAGGGGATGACTGTCTAGTGACAGTCACCCCATCCCTCTCTCTGTCACTAGTCACTCCCTCCCTAACTCTGTCACTGTGTCACCCGCTCCCTCACTCTGTCACTAGTCACCCCCTCCCTCACTCTGTCACTAGTCACTCCCTCCCTAACTCTATCACCAGTCACCCCTTCCTTCCTTCACAGTGACAGAGTTAGGGAGGGAGTGACTAGTGACAGAGTGAGGAAGCGGGTGACACAGTGACAGAGTTAGGGAGGGAGTGACTAGTGACAGAGAGAGGGATGGGGTGACTAGTGACAGTCACCACCTCCCTCACTCTGTCACTAGTCACCACCTCCCTCCGTCACTGTGTCACCCCCTCCCTCACTCTGTCACCAGTCATCCCCTTACTCTGTCACTAGTCACCCCTCCCTCACTCTGCCACTAGTCACCCCTTCCCTCACTCCCTCACTCTGTCACCTGTCACCCCCTCACTCTGTCACTAGTCACCCCTCACTCTAGTGACAGAGAGAGGGAGGGTGTGACTAGTGACAGTGAGTAAGGGTGTGACTAGTGACAGTAAGGGTGTGACTAGTGACAGAGAGAGGGAGGGTGTGACTAGTGACAGAGTGAGGGAGGGAAGGGTGACTAGTGAGAGTGAGGGAGGTGGTGATTAGTGACAGAGGGAGGAATGGGGTGACTATCACTGTGTCACCCCCTTCCTCACTCTGTCACTAGTCACCCTCTCCCTCCCTCACTCGGTCACTAGTCACCCCCTCTCTCACTGTCACCAGTCATTCCCTCACTCTGTCACCAGTCACCCCTTCCTTCCTTCACAGTGACAGAGTGAGGGGACGACTGGTGACAGAGTGAGGGAAGGGATGAATAGTGGCAGAGTGAGGGAAGGAAGGGATGACTGGTGACAGAGTGAGGGAATGACTGGTGACAGAGTGAGAGAGGGGGTGAATAGTGACCGAGTGAGGGAGGGAGAGGGTGACTAGTGACAGAGTGAGGAAAGGGGTGACACAGTGATAGTCACCCCATTCCTCCCTCTGTCACTAATCACCACCTCCCTCACTCTCACTAGTCACCCCTTCCCTCCCTCACTCTGTCACTAGTCACACCCTCCCTCTCTCTGTCACTAGTCACACCCTCCCTCTCTCTGTCACTAGGGTGAGGGGGTGACTAGTGATAGAGTGAGGGGGTGACAGGTGATAGAGTGATGGGGTGACTAGTGACAGTTACCACCTCCTTCACTCTGTCACTAGTCACCCCCTCCATCACTCTGTCATTGTGTCACCCCCTTCCTCACTCTGTCACTAGTCACCCACTCCCTCCCTCACTCTGTCACTAGTCACTCACTCTGTCACTAGTCATCCCCTTCCTTACTGTCACTAGTGACCCACTCCCTCTGTCACTAGTGACCCACTCCCTCTGTCACTAGTCACACCCTCCCTCTCTCTGTCACTAGTCACACCCTCCCTTTCTCTGTCACTAGAGTGAGGGGGTGACTAGTGACAGAGGGAGGGGATGACTGGTGACAGAGTGAGGGACAGAGGGGGTGACTAGTGATAGAAGGAGGGAGGGAGTAGTGACAGAGGGAGGTGATGACTAGTGACAGAGTAAGGGAGCTGGTGACTAGTGACAGTCACCACCT